CATTGCTGCATATGAGGCTGAGGGAGTCCTGTAGGGGCCTCTGGAGACCTCCAGAGACTGTAGGTCCTTGAAAACTGTCCATCAGTAGCCTGGGCCTGCAGGGTGTACGTTTTTTTCAGGTGAATATCAGGTGCACATCTCTCTCCCTCTCCAGTTATCATCAAGTCCACCCTTCAGGTCAGAATTCTTCACAGCATGGGATCTGAGTAGATCTGCAGGCTGCACCACCTTCTTTGCAGTTCAAGCTCCCCCAGTTTGCTCCCTGGCTCTTTCCAGACACTATACTGCAGGAGCTCTCTGCAGTCTCTCCCAGCTGACCAGCTGATTCTTTGCAAACCCAGGTCAGATCATGGTCCATTGCTCAACTGCTATTGAGTCTGCATTGGCTCCTGGACCCACCCTGACCGCAGGGGGCCAGCCTTTGATTACCTTAGTGACCTTAATTCTCAGATGTCTTCTTTGAGCTCTGTGTCACTTCCTTCATGTGCACCCTAGGGACTTTGTGCTTGTGCATCCTCCCTGGATCATCATTTTTTGAGATACTGATTGGGTCGGAGCCTTTGCTGTAGCCTGCCTCAGTGGTCACTTCATCAACCACTCAGGCTGTCTCTCCTTACACTATTTAGTGCTTTTTTTTCATGGTATGTTTCAGAACTTACATACATATCTGTCTCCTTCAGTGTGAACAAGGACCTTGCCTGCTTTGTAGTTTTGGTATAGGTGTGCATATGAGGTGCTCAGGAGTTGCTGTGAAATAAATTAAATACTGCCCTTAGGAAGAGGCCTCCCAGGCCCCACCCAGATGCAGTGCAGACCGGTGTATGTGATATGGTCAGCTCCCTGAGTTTTGCACCCCTGCAGTCTCTGTGCTCTATCTGCACCTGTCACAGAGACCAACATTAAGTTTGAGGTGGGACCTGTGCTAGAACAGTCTCCACGGAAGAAGACCTAGAAGGGTCCTGGGACAGGGGAAGGAAGGGAGAGGAGCCCCAGAAGTGAACGGTACTGGTGCCCAGTTGGCCTCCCTTGCCCCCAGCCCATCAGACCTGTGGCCCACTGATCACTGTGTCAGCCACTCTCCCACTCATCCACCTCCAGCCTCTCTGCTTCCATTCCTCCGTGAATTATGTGTGTCCCAGATCCATGCAGGGGCAGGGCTGGCTGTTTCAGTCCATCTCAAATGGCCTGGCTTCAGGGCTCTTCCCTGACCACTAATGCATCTTCTTGACCTTTTCCAGGCCCTGCTGCTACCCTAAGCATCCATTACCCTTGTCAAACATCAGTTCAGCATACTCTGATGCTCACTTGGGTGGTCCCCATGGGCCCGGCATGCATGGCCTTTCATTCCTCAGAGTGCATCGGGAGTCCCTTGAGTTTCAGTTCAGAGAGGTGTGCATAGTTAAAGTCGCTAGCTAGACCAAAGGCAAGGCAGGGGTTCTCTGATTGTACCCCACAGGAAGGTCCTAGTGCCCTAGTGTCCTCCCTCTCAGGACCAAGGTTTCAGGCACCAAGAAGCCAACATCTGTGGTGAGTGCCTGACCGAAGATGGAGTGGGCTGCTGTTGTGGGGCCATTGGCCACCCCATTCCTGGTTTTGAGGCTGTTTTGATCTTGCTCCTCACCCTCCTGGGGACACAGGTCTCCAAAACTTTTTTCCTGACCTCTCCAAGGACTCCCTGCTTGTTCCCCTTAGAGATCCAGTCTTAATAGTTCCTCTTCAGCTTTCCCCAAGGCCTAGATTTCCGCTTACTTGCTTCCCCTCCCAGCCTTTGGGGAGCTTTTGACAAGTGGAGCCCACTTTTGTTTTCAGCTCCGGCTGAAGTGGCATGTTTTCTGGCCCCAGGAAGCATGCATCTCTCTCTCAGGCAGTGTTGCTCAAGAGAGGTCTCTGGCGTACCTTTTAGCCCATAGCCTCCAGGGAGGGGAAGCCATCTGAAAGGACCTCATTCTTAATCCTGTGAGGCATGTCCTACTCTGGATACTGGTGTGTAAACCTCCCCAAGAGGAGAGGTTGATGTTTTGTTTGGTTTTAAATGCCAGGATGGTAAGCACCTGACCTACCAATGAACTACATCCCCTGTGTGTATATAATTTCATGCATAAGTGTGACAAAGGCCAATTTTTCAGAGTTGTATTTGTTTTTGTTTTTCAAGACAGGGTTTCTCTATGTAGCCTTAGCTGTCCTAGAACTCGCTCAATAGACCAGAACAGAGACCCACCTGCCTCTGCCTCCCGAGTGCTGGAATTAAAGGCGTGAACCACCACTGTCCACCCTCCTTTAGTATTTTCCTGTTGTGAGGCACTACCTAGTACCCATCAGGCCATACTCTTATTCTCCCTTCCTGGGCCCTCTGCTGTGTTGGTGTTTTTTTTTCCTTCTGTGAAAACTGCTGGTAAAAGAAATCACATAAAGCCCTTCATCCCAGCACTTGGGAGGCAGAGACAGGCAGGTCTCTTAGAGTTCAAGGTCAATCTGGTCTGTATAGGGAGCTCTGGGCCAGCCAGGGCTAGAGTAAGTGAGACCTTCAGGAGGAAGGAAGGAGAAAGAAAGAAGTGACCTTTTGTGTCCAGATTGCATTTTGTATTTTGGCACCAGAGATAAAACCCAGGAGCTCAGGCTGGGTGGTGGTGGCATACTCCTTTATTGTCAGAACTCAGGAGGCAATGGCAGGCAGATCTCTATGATTTCGAGGCCAGCCTGGTCTACAGAGTGAGTTCCAGGAAAGCCAAGGCTACACAGAGAAACCCTGTCTTGAAAAACAAAAACAAAAAAGCTGAATTTATGGCACGGATTCAAGCACACATCTGCTGCAGCACTCCACCTGTCCTGTGTCTGGGTTCACTGCTTATTTCAGAACTTTGTCCTTTTTATGGTCGAATCAGAATCCACCCTGTGAAGGGCTGTGCTTTCTAATTTCATTCTTCCATCAATGTATATTCAGGTCATAATCTTCATTCGGTGTCCTGAACCAGTGGTCTCAAGCTTGCTCTTTCTCTTCTTAGAAAAACCCCACATAAACCCTCTGAGTGCAGCTTTGTTTGTCTTCTGTATATGGCTATTGTCTGCACCTTTTGTATCTGGAGGTTTTTGTTTGTTTTTTGACACAGGGTTTCTCTGTGGCTTTGGAGCTTGTCCTGGAACTCACTCTATAGACCAGGCTGGCCTCATACTCGCAGAGATCCACCTTCCTCTGCCTCCCGAGTGCTGGGATTAAAGGCATGTGCCACCAATGCCCAGCTATAAAATACTTTTTTAAATAAATAGGAAGTAGGGACTGAGGAGATGACTCTTACTTCGGGAGTTCTTGCTATGTAAGCCTGAGGACCCGAGTTCAATACCTAGTATTCATCTAAATCCTGGGCTCAGTGGCATGAGCCTGTAATAGCAGTGCTGGGTGGGCAGAGAGCAGACATCTCGGGCTTGCTGGTCACAGTCTAGCTGGATCAGTAAGCTCCAATTGTAGTGAGAGATTGTGTTTCTAAAAGTAAGGTGGAGAGCAATAGAAGAGGTCTCTAACAGGCTAAAGCCACGTTGTCAGCCAGGACTGTGGTCTCATGTGGTGGCTCTACTGTGGATATGTCAGTTTCAAGTTCACAAGGATGGTACTGTGGGTTTCAGCCCATCCACACTCCAGTGGCTGCTGATGGAGGGCATCAGCTGTCTTCAAGCTGTCAGCTAGAGACTTCTCACTGCTCCGTGTCACAGCAGGTGTCTTCCAGTAGAGCAGGCAGGGGCAGGAGGCCAAGAGTGAGCCAAGCGGGAGCCAGAAGCAATACCTCATCACTTAAATTATCCTTTCATGACTTCATACTTACATAATGTACTTTGATCATATTTCTCCCAGTTATTCTTACATGCTCTTAACCTCATATCTTTTGAGTATTCCTGTTGTATTTATGTGTGTGCATTTATGTCTATGTATGCTGTGTGAGTGCAGTGCCCACAGAGGCCAGAAGAGGGCATCGGATCCCCTGGAGGTGGAGTTACAGATGGTTATGAGTCACCCAAAATGAGGGTTGGAAACTGAACCTGCCTCATCTGGAAGAGTAGCAAGTGCTCTTATCTGCCAAGCCATCTCTCCAGCCCTGTGACTTCTGCATTGAGGTTGCTTGCATGAACACAGTAAGGGCTTATTTACTTGGCAAGGACAGTTCAGTTCTACACCATAAGGAAGATGGCTGCCCTTCCCTCAGCAATCGCTAGCCACCTTAGCTCCTCAGAGTAGAGTGGAGCCTCATGACGCAGACTCTTTTGGGGGGAACAATTCAAGACAGGGTTTCTCTGTGTAGCCCTTGCTGACCTCTTACTCTGTAGATCAGGCTGGCCTCAAACTCAGAGATTCACCTGCCTCTGCCTCCTGAGTACTGGTATCAAAGGTGTGCACTGCTACCACCACACCTGGCTTCTTCCCCCCACCCCGACACTTTTTGACCACATTTTGTCTATTAGAAGCAGATCACTAGGGCCACTATGGCTTGAGCTAGCTTCTAATCCAGGTGAAGTGATCAGGATTTCCTAAGACTGTAAATGAGGTGGCTCATGAATACATCTGGCAGGATTGCTGCCACTGAGTTTTTGATTTGTCACTTTATTCACCTGGGGTAGGACTAGGACAAGGCCTAAGACACTAAACCAGAACAGCCATAGGCAGTTTAGAGAACACAGTACAGAGCTGGGCAGGTGCTACTAGGAACGATAGAAGTTGACCTGGAGGACTGGGGATTGGCAGTTTTATGACTGAGGAGGACCCAAGTTCCTCACTTTGGGGGTTCAAGCTAGACCTGAGGACCCTTGGTGTCAGGTGGTTGGAGGGGCTGCATGTGTAGTCAGAGGCCCTTAAGCCCTTATGGCGGTGTTAGGAAGTGGTTGATGCTGCCTGTGCTGTGTGACAAGCAAATTGCCCTCCTTCTCTGGGCTTCCTGCATTGTTCACAGTGAATCAGGCTGTAACTGACAGGGTTGGGGAGCCTGGCCGTGCTCATACCTGCTCTTCCCCTGCAGGTTTTCTCCATTGTGGTCTTTGGCTCCATCGTGAATGAGGGCTACCTTAACAACTCAGATGAGGAGGAGGAGTTCTGCATCTACAACCGAAACCCCAATGCCTGCAGCTATGGCGTGACTGTGGGCGTGCTAGCCTTCCTTACCTGCTTGCTCTACCTGGCGCTGGATGTGTACTTCCCACAGATCAGCAGTGTCAAGGATCGCAAGAAGGCTGTGCTGTCGGACATTGGTGTCTCGGGTGAGCCTGCTCGCATGGTACCCCTTAACGGCGTGTGGAGAGCTCTCTCTACCACTGCCTCTGAAGTGTAGGTAGTGATGCGACAGACTAGGGGCTGAGGCTGGTGAGGGGAAGGACTCAAGTCAGCTCTGGTCTCAGTGCCCTGTGGTCCCCTCCCTGGGGATCCTGGAGCCCTCCTTCCCTCGGTGCTGGGCAGAACCACCTCCTTTGCTAGTCTCCCACCTTTGGAGTCCCAGAGTCAGCCCGGTAGGGACTTTGGGCATTATTAGGACCGTGGGCCCTGTTTCCAAAGGGACTGGGGACCCTTTGACCATCCAGAAAGAACTAGGACTAAATAACTTCCTCCATTTCCATGGAGCTCCTAGAATTCCTCTTGGGAAAGGCTGGTACATGCCTGGCTCTTTCCTGGACAGCCCTGGGCAGACCCTGGGTACCCACAGAAGATCTTGCTCTTCTACCCAGCCCACACAGCTCAGCTTCAGAGGGGCTCCATTTGGGGGACTTCTGGAAGTTGCACACTTGTGGGAAGTGGAGGTCCAGGCCTTAGCCTGTGCAGCCACTATGTCCTTGTCCCAGTTGTCACCTTTCCCAGTTCTCCAGATGTCTGAGCGGAGCCACTGCACCCTGCTCCTTGCAACTAGCGGCTGGCCTTTCAGACCAAGCCAGAGAGGTGGCAGACATTAAGAGAGGCCCCTGACCTGTCTGCCCATCCCCTCCCCATTATCCTCCCACTCCATGGCTTGCCCTGTACTGCTGGCCCTGTGTATCTACTTGCCTTTGACCTGCCCTCTCTGTGGTCTCCCCCCACCCCAACTCTGTCATTCCCACTCCTGGTCTTCTCCTGGCTCCTCTCTGCTTCCTTACTCATCATTTGGGGGTTGGGGAGCATGGGAGCATGATCTTGAACTGTCACCCTATTCCTTTGTGCCCTGTTTTCTCCCTCTTATCTGCGTGTGTCTGACATCTCGCCTGGCCCTGGGCACCCCAGCCTTCTGGGCCTTCTTCTGGTTCGTGGGTTTCTGCTTCCTAGCCAACCAGTGGCAAGTCTCCAAGCCCCAGGACAACCCTCTGAATGAAGGGACGGATGCAGCACGGGCCGCCATTGCCTTCTCTTTCTTCTCCATTTTCACGTGGGTGAGTATGGTGCCTGTAGAGTTCCCACTTGCCCCAACCACACCCCAAGCTCTGGCCTCTTGAGTAGCGAGGCTGAGCTGTTTCCTGGAGGGAACCTAGTTCCAGCACTACCCTCAGCCTCCCTGAGCAAGGCAAACCCTTGCCTTGATGTGGAACAGCTTTCCTGAGGTGTGGCTCGAGCTTCATTATAGAGCCCAGACTGGTGCTGAACTCAAGACCCTACTGCCTCAGTCTCTGAACATATGCCCTGCCTTTGCTGCTTTGTTTGCTTTCTTTTCACATACTGAATCTTCTCAAGGGTCTCCGCACTTCAGGAGAAAGGTTCCTATTGGCTGTGCTTTCCACACAGGGAAACTGAGACTCAGGCGCTTAGCAGTGTGTTTATTTATCCATTTATGTCTATTTTTTAAAGACATGATTTCTCTGTATAGTCTTTGCTGTTCTGGAACTTGTTTCACCACACCCAGCCTAAAATAAAAATTCCTTTAAAAAGACAAAAAAATAAGCTTGCAGTGGTGGTGCACACCTTTAATCCCAGCACTCAGGAGACAAAGCAGCACTCAGGAACTCTCTGTGAGTTTGATGCCAGCCTGGTCTACAGAGCAAGTTCCAGGACACCCAGAGCTGTTACACAGAGAAACCCTATCTCAAATATAAAAATCTTACATATGGAGGAAATTGCATCTAGGGGTCCAACATTCTTTGCAGGGCTAGCCCAGGGTCTCAAGGGTGCCACATGCTACAGCAAGGCTAGCCCCTCTTTGCATGGGTCTAGGTCATGCCTGTTTCTTCCTTTCCTGCTCTCCCTCTGTTGAGAAGTTGGGTCTCAGCAGCCAGCTCTTCCAAGGCCCCTTTCTTCTCTCACAGCACACTCTTCAAGAGCCCCCTGGGTTGCACACAGTCAACTTTCCCTGTCCCCACTCTCCCTGAAGTGACTTCTTTTTCTTTTTGAGGACTCCAACACTCATCTTCTGGGGCATTCATCAGCCCCAGTATTGGGAGCTAAGAGTGTTGTGGTCCCCAGAGGCCAGGCATGGTAACCATAGCTCTCTGATGCCTTCAGGACCGGGCAGGAAGATCAAGGTGAATCCAGGGGACCTCATTTGAGAGGAAGCTACCCATCTCCTGGATGGGTGGAGCTGACAGGAACATAGTGATTAGACTGAAGGGAAACCCCCAATAGACTGGTGCTGCTGGCCACAGCTGGCTTTCCTAAGGCAGCTCTGCCTTCCGCCTCCTCAGTGGCCTCACTCCTGCTCTTTCCGGCAGAGCCTGACTGCAGCCTTGGCCGTCCGCAGACTCAAGGACCTTACCTTCCAGGAGGAATACAACACCCTGTTCCCCGCCTCAGCACAGCCATAGCCCCTGAAGGGCAGGGAATCCACGCCCCAGCAGGGTCCAGTTGCAGGAATGGCCCTGTGTTGGAGATGTCTGACCATTAGGACAGGAAAGACAGGATGAGGCTAGCTGAAGGAGTCAGCTAAGGCTCGCCACTGGCTCACTCATGCTGTTGCTTCCTTTGTTTATTCTTTACGTTCCTTCTTTCAGTAAACATTTATTGAGCAACTGTTTTGTACCTGTGTGGATTAGAGAGGTCCCTGGTCCCAGGAGCTTACAGGCTGGGGAGGAAAGATAGGCAAACTTGTACAAAATGGTGTGGCCCCTCCGAGGTCTGAAGTTCCTCCAAGGAAGGGGCTGAGCCATGAACAAAGTGATAACCTGTCAGTGATTGTGGTGTGAAAGGCCACCTTCCTGCCCCCATATGGTGACTACTTACAGAGTGCTGTCCTGGGAGGACCTTTGCCCCTCAGTTTTCTGTGATGTGTGACCAAGAGCAAATTCTTGTACCTCTCTGAATCTTGGTCAATTTTTCTAGCCTGATTGATAATGGATGAATTTCTTCAGGCAGTTGGGCAGGCTGAACAAGGGCCAGCACAAGCCTTGGCACAGGGATGCTCAATAAATGTCAGTAGTTCATTAATTGGCTCACTCACTCACTCACTTATTCCTTGAGTCAGGTGCATCTCCATAAGCCCTCCTTGGGGAGTGGGTCCTAGTAAATACTTGTTTTGCCAAAAGACTTTGACCTCCCAGGTGGATCTCCTTGAGTTGGAGGCCAACCTGGTCTCCAGAGCGAGTATCAGAAGAGGTTCCAATGCAACACAGAGAAACCCTGACTCCAAAAAAAAAAGAAAAAGCTTTGACCGCTTCACTGCCTCCTTTGAGCCCCCAGAGCTCGGGCAGCACCCACCTGTGCTTGTACTCTGTGTGGGGGCTGAGGGTGCAGTGGGCACAAGCAGACTCTGGAGCATTGCCTCTGCCTTGCTGTAGCTGAATGCAGAGAGAGCGCCTGCGGGTGTTGGAGGCATGCAAGTACAGACAGCCTGCTGCCTGGTGTGCAGGTCCCACAGTGCTGAACAGAGTCCCTTAGACTCCCTCTTATGACTCTGCCATGCCAGGTCCTTCTCTTTTCCTATATGTGACCCTTTACACTGTCTGGCCACAGTAGGATTTGACTCAAGGGAAGGGGACTAGCCACAGACACAGACAGTCTCCAGTGCCTCTAGCTCAGTGGTTTTCAATCTTCCTAATGCTGTGACCCTTTAATATAGTTCCTCATGTAATGGTGACCCCCAGCCATAAGATTATTTCATTGTTACTTCATAACTGTAATTTTGCTACTATTATAAATGGCAATGTAAATAACTGACATGTGAATCCAAAGCAGTCACGGCCCACAGGTTGAGAACTACTGCCTCCTCCTTGGAAGGGTCCATGGAAGTCATTGCTCTAGTCCCCGCCTCTGTGCAAGCCAGAGAGTACAGGGAGAGCATGGTCTCCATACCTCTCAAGTCATCCTATTTGTTTCCTGCCCCCTATCCACTGCCCCAGAGAGCGCTGACCACTCTTCAGTCTCACAGGCCAGGGCCTGTGTTTGGGGCTGAGTTTCAGCACTCTGTGCTATGGATCCCCCTCCTCTATGCCTTTGTCTTCTCAGCCATGACCCAGCACTGTGGGCTGGAAAGGTCCAAGGAAGGGTTTCTTTCTGAATTGCAGAGCAGATTTGATGGTGTTCTTTAGGTCCCTGTGGTCCCTTCTCTGCATGTGATCGCAGTTAGACCTTTCCCGACTCTGTGCTAGACAAACAGGACCCAGTATATCTCAAACAGTCAAGGTTCTAATGAGTCCTGTGGCTCGGAAACGTGTTACTGCTTCATTTCATTTCCCAAACTTGTCTAGCTGTGTTTTTCAGCTTTAGTAATAAGTGATTTCAATTCCAAATAATGATTTAAGCAGGGCAATGGTGGCACATGCCTTTAATCCCAGCACTCGGGAGACAGAGGCATGTGGATCTCTTTGAGTTCGAGGCCAGTCTGGTCTACTAATCGAGTTCCAGGACAGCTTCCAAAACTACAGAGAAACCCTGTCTCGAAAAAAACACAAAACAAAACAAAACAAAAAAAAATAATTTAAACAAATTCCAAGTCTGGAGAGATTGTGCAGGGCTTCCATAATGGCTCTAGATGTCTCTTCAGTGATTAGACACCTCTCTCTCTCTCTCTCTCTCTCTCTCTCTCTCTCTCTCTCTCTCTCTCTCTCTCTCTCTCTCTCTCTCCCTTTAGTTTTTGGTTTTTTTGAGACAGGGTTTCTCTGTTTAATAGATAGCCCTGGCTGTCTTGGAGCTCACTCTGCAGATCAGGTTGGCATGGAACTCACAGAGATCTGCCTGCCTCTGCAGATTAAAGGTGTGTGCCACTACTGCCCGGCACATCCTTATTTCTTATCTGTCATCCATCCTAGTGCGTTTTAGCACCCAGAGCTCCAGCTATCACATCAGCTTTCCAGGCATTAGATCTGAGAGTGGGACAAAGAATATGACTGTGCATAGTTGCAAGAGAAACAAAAAGATGGTTCAGGTGATTCAAAGAGTTCTGTTTTAGGCAGCCTTTTCTCCCATTTCACATAACATCCCTGAGAACACAGGGACATCTTAACCCTTTGGGACATCTTAACCCTCTGAGGTGAGGCTGTCTTGGCTTGGGATCATTGGGGCAGGTGACTTCTGAGGTTCTATGGCTGGATGTTGTCTTGGGCCTCAGAAGGGTTGCTATGTGGACAGTACTTCCCCTTAGTCAGGCATGGTGCTTTGAACATGTAACTGCCTGTATCCTGTCAACTAACCTCTACTAACCCAATAATCTTGTCTGTTTCTCCCTTAACCATCCCTTCCACCTGTCTTCATCCCTGCCTGCTCCCCATCCTAGGCAGGACAGGCTGTGTTGGCCTTCCAAAGGTACCAGATTGGCGCCGACTCGGCCCTCTTCTCCCAGGACTACATGGATCCCAGCCAGGACTCCAGCATGCCTTATGCACCCTACGTGGAGCCCAGCGCTGGGCCGGACCCTGCTGGCATGGGTGGTACCTACCAGCATCCAGCCAACTCCTTCGATGCTGAGCCCCAGGGTTACCAGTCACAGGGCTACTGAGCCCCCATGATGGTGGTGTCAGTGGCTGCCTACCCTGCCCTTGCCCTTTCATCCTAGTTCCCCTTCCAAACACCTTGCTCCCTCCCAGGTGACCCTGCCTAGCACCTGCTCAGCCTCCAAGTGACTCAACTGAGGCCCAGTGCATCTGGGGTGGGGAGTCTGGGGTGTGTGTCCACATGTGTGTGTAAGTGTGTGCCCAACAGGGATCTAGAGGGTGACAGTCATTCATTGTGTCCTTGAGCATTCACAGAGCACCTACTTTATACCAGGCCTTGCTCAGCTGGGGAGTGAGAGAGATGAGAGAGGGGGAAAGGTGAACTGAGGAGGCCCTGCACCAGGTGCAGGAAAGGTAGGACTGACAGATAGATCCTGGCAAGTTTGGCTGCAAGGGACTCAGCCACAAGGTGAGTGTGGTCAATCACAGGATGTGGGCCATCAACCCCAGAATCCTTGACATGTAACAGCCCTCCTGGGATTGCCAAGGCAACCTCCATTTTATGGTTGAGGAAACTGAGGTCTGAAAGGTCAAAGTACTTTGTCCAAGGTCATTCAAGCAGCTGATGATGCGGCCACATCAAGGTAGGCCAGATACAGAGCTCCTGCCAGCCTCTCTATTTCCTGTTCCTACATCTAGGCATTGCCATTCAGTGTTACTCTAATTCGGGGGTTGTGGGGGGCTTCAGGACCTGAGGATAGTGAGGCAGCATGACCTGCTGCAAACCAAGGGCCTCTTCTGCCTCAGTTGCTTCCTGGCATTCAGGTCCTCTCCTCAGTCTTGGTCTCCTCCTAGAGGGCTCCCCAGCCCTGCCCCTCCCCTGGTGTTGTTCCATGCTCAGCATGTTCCACAGGGAACTCCTTTGGGGTGTGCCAGCTACCCCCTTTGCAGCCTCCCTAAGGAGTGGTGGCTCATTGAGCCTTTGCTCATGGCCGGATAGACAGGAGGCCAGGTGGCATCGGACACTGGCCTAAGGTCCCAGTGTGTGAGTGGTGGAGGTGGCCTTGTTGCCTAAGTTTATTGGCTCCAACTATCTAGCAGGTGACTCCATCCCTGTCACCACATGGGACACTGTCCTCTCTCTGAGTCAGCCAGGGCTCAGGGCTGGAGGAGTAGGAGTCCAGGATAGGAGCTTTCAATTACAGGGTCAGTGAGTGCCACAGTTAGAGGTCACACTGCCCCAGATGACTCACAAGTGAAACTGCAGAGTGGGCTCAGGGAGGCCTCTGGCCACAGGAAAGAGAAAAATAGCAGATTATCTCAGAGGCAAAAAGGGGAGTGGGCGGGGCCCAGAGGACAGCAAGGATGTATTCTCACACACTGTGCTTCTCTCTCTGTGACTGAGGGGACCCAAAGGGAAAGTGTCTGTGCCATCATCCTGTGTGTACCCAGTTTACACTACTGGTCCCTTGTGAAGCAGGGCAGTAAGCTGTGGGTCAGCTTCAACAATGGGTGTCCCCACCATCTCACCCCATGCCCTATATACAGGATGCTGGCAGGCAGGTTTGCTCTTCGGGTACCCATGTTGGTGTGGTGTCAACAAGAGTGTCTGTGGTGTCTGTCTCCGAAGAGCCTGTGTACCACACGGAGGTACAGGGCCCATTACATTAGGAACAGGGCATGAGTGCAGGCCTAAGATGGACGGTCAGGGAGGAACCAAGAGCTTCAGGGGCATAGAAGGAGCACCACTGCCCTTACTGAGCATAGAGAGTTAGCATTGGAGATTGGATTCAAACTGGACTCTCCAAGTTCCCTAGCGGGCCAGTGTTGGGAGAAGACCCCAGGCAGCTAAGTGACAGCTGGCTGTAAGTAACTTCCATTTTCCACACCTGGGAAGGGGTTCTGTGTACAGCTCTGTGCCCCAGGTGGCTCAAAGTAGGAATTGCTTGGATGACTTAACTGGTTCCAGACCAGAGGGGACATTGTAGCCACCAAGAGCCTATGAAAGGCCCTGGCCTTTGCTACTCCTGCTGGAGAGTACCAGAGACCCGAGGACTGCCCATTGGTTTCTCCCTGGTTAGCAATAGGCAGCTGGTGACATCAGGCAGAGGGCAGAGTGCTGGTTAAACTCTGCCCAGCCTTGGCTGTCTATTCCCAAGTCCTCAGGCTACAGCTGGGCTGCTGGGACCTCAGCGAGCACCTCTCCCTTTTCCAGATGCATGCCAGCACCATGGTAGTGATGTCAGACAGTGGGCAAGAAGCCTAGGAGATCTGAGGAAGACCCAGGGTATCAGTGGTTTGGGAGGGGTCACCCCCCCACACCTCCTTGGACAGAGAATAGCCTTTGAAGGACCTAAGGCCAGCAGCACCCTGATTTCCTTCCTCTCCACTGCTTCTGCTTTCCTCTTCCCCCTACAGCTGGGCCCTGTGGAATTGGGGCTCCCTTTTCCCTGTCAAGCACAAAAGACAGTCTGAGAAACATGGGTTCCATATGACTTTATAGTTGCAGGGGTCCTTCAAGACACTCCTGTCTCATCCAAGGTCAAGCACAGAGAGATTGGGAGCCCCATCTTCTGAGATGACATAACCTGCATAGTCAGGCCATTTTGCCTGGGAGGCCCCCCAAACACCTGGGATATAGCAATCCAGGGGCTGATTCCCAGGGGACTGGCACCTTCTGTCCCCAATGATTTTTGATCTTCAGACTTTTGGGGTCCCAGGCGTTCCCCATATAACCAAGAGATCCCACTTATTGTCCCTGGGATACCCTTAACATTGAGCCACAATCTCTTTGATGTCTAAAAAATGTAAACAGGAGTCCCCAGAGTTTATGGAGGATGGACTGGGCTAGCCATCGCTACCCCTGCCCTGACACTTCCGCCCTCTGGCGCCCACAGCTCTTGTCTGGGTGCCCCAGCCCCTCCCGCAGCATTACTGCCTGTGTATAGTATAAATATATATATTTTCTATATATAAGATGTATAATATAAGGCTCCACAATATATCTGTGAGTGTGTGTGTGTGTGTGGGCGCACGCGCGCGCATGCGTGCGTGCGCGGCGGTAAAGGGCAGCCCCCAACTTGGGCCCTGCTCTATTCCCTCCCCCACCTGGTTAAGCCTCTCCAGAGTGGATCCAGTGGCCCTGTGGCATTCTCCTCTATGACATCCATCCATCTGTGGTGAACCAAGTGAAGGTGGTGACTTCTGGTGATATAGTAATAAAGTGAAGATTTCCAACTCAGCAGTGGGCTGTGTTACTGTTCCTTTGTCAGTCCTGAGTGTGGCTTCAGCTTGTTTATCCTCCTGACCTGGGCCAAGTATTTGTTTATTATTGTTTGGCTAACTTGTTTTTTCCAAGGCAAAGTTTCATGTATTCTAGGTTGACCTCAAATTTGCTATGTAGCTGTGGATGGCCTTGAAATGTGTGTGTGACACACATGCTATGATGTGCATGTGATAATCAGGACAATTTGTCAAATCTGTTCTCTTTTACTAGGGTTCAGGGGATCAAATTCAGATAGCCAAGTGTGTGCAACAAGCACTTTTACCGGCTAAGCCATCTCACCAGCCCTCCACCTTAGTGTTTTGAAATACTGAATCTGGAGTGCACCAATCCAGCACAGACTGGCTGATCAGTAGCAGGAGCACTCCAAGGATCCTCCTGTCTACACCTCCCTGTGCCCAGGATTGTAGACACACACTGCCAAGCCTGAATTTTACATGGATGCTGGGAATCCAAACTCAGGTCCTTATATTTAGATAATGAGCACTTTGCCAACTGAATAGTCATTGACCTTTCTGATCCTACCTCCACCTCCTAGGTGCTAGGATGATAAGCATATGCCAGCACTCCTGGTTTATGCAGTACTGGAGAGAATCCAGGGCTTTGCATACATTAGAGGGCTGTGCGGACTAAGCTGTATTCCTAGTCCAAATAGATCTTTCTAACATTTACATGCTTAATGGGGAGAGGGTGCTGTAGAGCACATGTGGAGGTCAGAGGTAACTTTTGGGAGCTGGTCCTTTCCTTCCTTCCACCATGTGGATCCTAAAGATGAAGCTCAGGCCATCAGGCTTAAAAGCAAGTGCCTTTACCCAACGATCTAGCTCCAAATAGTACATTCTTCTTTGTTTGAGTTTTGTTTCTTGTTTAAGATTTGGTTTTTTGTTTTTGTTTTGGGTTTCGGATTTTTTGAAACAGAATTTCTCTGTAGCTTTGGAGCCTGTCCTGTAGACCAGGCTGGTCTCAAATTCACAGAGATCCACTGTCTTCCAAGTGCTGGGATCAAAGGCATGTGGCACTGCCACCCTGTAAGTATTGGTTTTTTGAGACAGGATCATCTCACTATGCATCTTTGGCTGGTTTGACATTTGCTGCATAAACTAGGCTGGCTTTGAGCTCCCAGAGGCCCCTACCTCGACCTCCTGCGTGCTGGGATTAGAGGAGTGTGCCACCACGCCTGGCTCATTGTAAATATTTTAATTATTTGTTCATGCAAGTGCAAATATTTATTCATTTTATGTATATGAGTGTTTCATCTGTATATATGTGCTTCACCTGTGTGAAGTCCCTGCAGAGGTTAGAAGAGATCACTGGATCTCCTGGAACTGGAGTTCTCTGTGGTTGTGAGCCACTATGTGGGTCTGGAAATGGAAACTGGGTCCTCTGCAAGTGTAGCACATGCTCTTAACTGCTGAGCCATCTGTCCAGCCTCGTTTGTTAATGCAATTTGATTTCCTCAGTTGCAAGAAAAGAGTATTGTAAAATTGCCCTTGTTAACAATGAAGCTTCTTGAGAACACATAGTTATTTTCTATAGTGTGGTGAACTTTTAGTTTGATTTCTTTGATGTTTGCTTTGTGATATTATAAATTCTTTTAAGAAGTCTTTCTTGGGGCTGAAGAGATGGTTCAGTGGTTAAGAGCACTGGCTGCTCTTTCAGAGGACCCAAAAGTTCAATTTCCAGGACCTACATGGCAGTTCACAACTGTAACTCCAGTTCCAGGAGATCTAACACCCCTTTCTGGCCTCCTTGGGTACCAAGCATGCAGGTATTTCACAGATAAACATGCAGGCAAAATACCCGTACATGTAAAAAACAAAAAGTCTTTCCTGATTGGTTCTTTGAATCAAATTGTGGGCTTTAATGCAACCTTCAGGTACTTTTATTTTACAA